TGTCAGCGGCTTCCTGAAAACCAAAGCCAAGCCGGGCCACACCTGAGCGCGTCCCGCAGCAGCGGCCGGGCAGAGCCCCGGCGCAGGAGCCTGGGGAGAGCTGCGGGGCAGGGGGGGCGAGGTGCGTACAATCGGTGCGATTCGTGTCAAAGGGCTCCATCCCGTCCTTTTCTCCCAGACAAAGATGGGTCAGGTTCCACTCCGCACGGCTGTAAACGGGAGGCAGCGAGAACAAAGCAGAGGTCAGACAGTGCTCTAACCAAAGGGGTAATTCTGGCTCCATTAAAATTCTCGTTCCCGTTTGCGTGGCAGCGGAAGGTTGTGCTACGACTTATAAAGAGCTGAACCACCCTCAGGGTGACTCATAGCCCTTAACAGAGCTGCCATGCTGATTTTACAAATGTTAGAGCAAAGCCTCAGAGCCAGTGTTTTGTACGGTTTAACCTATCAACTTGGGAGCAGACCCATAGCTCTTTTATGAAGCTCCCCTTCCCTATATTTTATTTCCTTTCTTGATGCCAGAATCAGAGCCAAAGCCGAGCTTAACAAAGCAACAGGCATGGCCGTTCTTCCCAGCCCTCATTTCCCCTGGTGAGAAAAGAAAAATTAATTTAAACCCTATCAAACCAGCAAAAGCTGCTTGCCATTTTTGTGCTGCAGAACACAGCGTGACTGAAACACTCACTGGAACCATCTGTGCTCGCCAGCCCAGCCCAGAGCACAGGCACACAGGGTGGAATCCTGCATCCGCAACAGACCTGCATCATCTGGCTGCTTCGCAGGCAGCGAGGGAGATGCTTGCGATGGGGGCAAGATAGAAGAGCTTTTACCTTATTAAATGCTCATTTCTTTTCTTTGAGTCCTTATTCGTGGATCCAGTCAGGCTCAGCAAAACTCTTCATGTCCCAGCAGCTTCTCCTCCTGTCCCAGCTCAGCGATAGCCCGGAGCCGCTCTCAGAGGGCACAAGGAACACAGCTCTCCTCGCCACCCGCTCTCACCAAGCACAGGCACCACGCTCAAGGGGAATCTGCACCCACGGACATGTTAGGCTTGCTAAAACTTTTGCTACATGTGTAAGGGAGTGGAGAAACTTGTCGTCGAAGCAGAAACAACCCCTGCAACTGCTATGCTGCTGACCTGTCTTTGGTGTCTGGGAACCCACCCCCCTTTCAGCATCTCCTTTTGCATGTCTACTCCTAACAAAAAGAAATAACGTGCTTTTACGTGAAGTTAAATATTGCAGTTAACCTGCTTCCTGTGTTCGCCTATCACACGCCACTAGCACTGGCCCCACAGGCTCAGAACCATCCTGTTCTCGGCAGCACCAGGGACAAACTCTTTCTGGATTCAGAGAAGCAAATGTAATGTATGCTGGGATTTCCCAACCACCTCCATCTGCTTTGGCTCTCCCTTAACTTACCTTAAGTCACACCAAATGTGATTGAGGTGATCAGAAAGTTTTCAAACCATTTTTCTTCCTCTTATCACTTCATATTCAACAGTTTTCAGACACGGGGGAAAAAAATCAAGTTGAGACAACATTCAAGTGAATTTTGTAGTGAAGACAAAAGACCTAATTAAGTTTCCAATAGCAATACTGAAGTAGTATTCGGACTTTCATGATGGCAAAATCTTCACACAGATGCCCAAGATCAGCTTAACACAGCCACAAGAGGGAGTCTTAAATCTCCTGTTAATATCCAGATGGATTAGAGCCTCAAAACGCCTCTAGTACAAGGGCACACAGCAAGCTTTCGAAAGGATTTCACAAAGTTATCCTGAGCTCCAAATTTCTTCTCTGGTTTTATAGGAGTATGCTTGTTCTGAAGGGAAAGGTTCTCTAAAATTATGAATCCTTGGTATAAAGATGCAGGTTTTTCTTTTCTTGGAGGGAGGAGGAACAGGGAATTACGTTATTTACGCATTCTGGACCCATATTGCAATTGAAGGCAGAGAAGAGGACGTGAATGGTTTTTGCCCTAAGCAAACCTCAGAGACACTTGAAAGGCCAATTCCACCTGGACTGACTTCTGAAAGTCTCTTTTTTAGCAGGGATGGGAATATGGATAATATGACATGGAACAAAATTATGAAACTGGCAAGACAGCTAAATGAAAACAATTCCTTCCCACCACTTGCTCAGATTTGTGGCTGTAAGCAGAGTGGGAGCTGCTGTTGGACTCCCAGCCTTTTTGGCTAACAGTTCGCTTTCCCCAGCCCTTTTGCCTTGGGACTTAGGCAGAACCATCTGAGAGCAGGGCATGTCAAACTGCCAGATGTCTCAGAGGGGGACTTTCTCTTTCAGAAGGATGCTGTCGTGCTGGCATCACACAATCTGCTGCACCAGAAATGCATGCTCCTACTTTACCGAGATTAGAAAGTGCACCAGGATTTTACTCTTCCCATACACAATCTGAACAAACAGAGGAGGTTCTGCCTAATCTAACCCATGGCGTGGCAAGCTACCATGACACTGGCTCAACATTTTGTTAATTTGACACACCTGATTAGAAGCTCTGGCAGAGCTGAGCCTACAACACAACTAACACTTCTTGCAACGCCTGTAAAGTATCTGTGCTGCATCTGTACATGCCTGCTCTCCACTGCCAAAAAAATGTCAAGATACATTCCTCAAAAATACTTTTATGGTCTTTACTCAGTCTTGACATTCACTTGTTCTAAAGTTTCCAAGAAAGCATTACGGCTCCAAAGGGGGCATCTATGAGTAAAGCCACATGACAATTTTGAACAGAAATAGCTACATCTAGGCACCCAGAAACGGACCTCTGGCAACGCTTCTTCACAGAGATCCAGCCAAGAAATAAAGACAAGAACCAATTATCTCACAGAGGTTAATGAAAGAAGTGCTCACAGTACAGCCAAATTCTGCTTCATCACTTCATTGTCCTCCTCTGCTGCTCTGTTTTGTACATCCACCTGCCCACTCCTGCTTGAAACTGAAGCGGGAATCCAGGTGAGCAGATAGTTAATTCTGACTTTGAAACGTGGTCACAGCATCATTACTGCATGAACCACCTCTGCCCCAAGAGGCAGTAGATTCAGCTGTCATGAAACAGATGAACAGTCTTAAACCTTTGAGACTGCAGCATAAATCACTATTTTTTTTTTTTGCTTACAGCTAACTTAAGAGTGGGGTTTGTAAAAGGCTGTTCAAAAAAAATTGCCCCCCTATTTATGCATATCGTTCTTTTCAGAAGCAATTTAACGGGACAAACACTCTTTAATTATGATTAGGGGCTGACTACTGGAATGCCCACGCCTGGTTATTCAAAAGCAGATGTTCAGCAGTGCCATGTTTCATACATCATGCTGACAATAGTAAGTTATTAGCAAAACATAGTAAGTAATATCTAAAAAGTCTTTATGCGAGGTTGCCTAACTGTTGGAGTGGGTCAGCAACAAAAGATCAGATGTGACACATGTTAACATCCCAGAACAATTTATCCTCTACTTGGCCAAACCTCACTCCACACACTCAGCTGAATGTAATTAGACCTCAAGCTTGCTCTCATTTCAGTCTCTGCAGAAAAGCGGTTATCTGCCTTCAGTAATACGTGGCTGCTCCGAAATGCTGGCAGTCATCAGGAAGGAGAAACTGCAAAGGTGCACACCATCTCCCCGATTTAGACAGGGAGCAGCTAAGACAGCGTGATACGTACATTAAAATGCAAACACGAATGCCATAGCACCTGCCTGGAGGTTCAGTCAACACATCCAAGCAGGAAGCAGCAAAAACTCACGAGCCACACAGTGCATGAGCTATTTTTAGATAAACGTTATACCATTTACCTGCTAGCTCCACGGATCAGAAACATATGCTGCAGCTACAGACCCAGTGCAGTTTAACCCCACCCCAAACGACAAGATGGTAACTCTCCAGATCCTACTACAGGCTAGGCTACTCGAGGAGCAAAGCTCTGCTCAAATCTTTGCTATGGTTCAGGCTACACAGTCTGGCCTGGAGCAAGCCAAACTGCACATGGCTTTGTGAAAACAAGTTCATTTAATTTTTTCTGACCTTTGTATATTAAGGTTCTTGCTATCGGGTGGAAGTGAAGGAAAGACTAGACATACTTCCTATGAAATGTGACTTTCAGATATTATAGAAAACATAAAGAAAGCTGATTTACTCCTCTATCAAAAAGAATATTACAGTGAAACAATGGGAAGGATCTGCCCCAAACCCCTTAAGTCAGGGCCTTGAGACAGAAGACAAGCCACCTCCCTACACTGCTTAATGAGACAGGAAGATCCTTTAGGAGGTAATTTTTCCTTAAAGGTGTTGAAATGCAGTGTGATTTTTCTGATGAAGTAGCTTGTGTTCCCCCAGTAAAAAAACCAAAAAAATGGAAGCCACTAACCTATCTGCATGAGGAACGAGTAGCTGGTAAGTAGAACAAAGATCTTTACGCAGAAACCAAAAAAATGGAAGCCACTAACCTAGCTGCATGAGGAACGAGTAGCTGCTAAGTAGAACAAAGATCTTTACGCAGAAACAGTACTGACCTCATACCCCGCAAAAGCCACAGATGCAGACTAAAACCTTGTTCCAAGACAGATTTTAGATTAAAGCTATACAGGAGTCCCTTGGAAAAAAATGCACAATTATCAGTTGCAAGACTAAGGGTGGACATTAACGACTTGTTTGTTCTCAAAGTTCCCTTGATCCAAGTGACAGTATTCTCAATAAGTAAATAAAGTCTTGCGCCAGTGCTTGACTGTTTGAAGCAACAGTCGAAGACTCAAGCTACAACTATGCACATCTCGGACAAGCCTGGTAGTCACCATCAATAAAACATTACTAGTGTTCAGATGGTCCTAAGGGCTGTACGAGTGCAGAGAGCACTGTGCAGAACAGGGAAACACATTAGTTACTACAATGTGTGAGTATGTTTAAAGAAGTCTACTAAACCATGTAACAGTTTGAGGTTCTTTAATCATTGTTACACCCGACGCACAATGTACAATTTACATTTGCAAGCAATACATCTTTGCACTTTAGTTACAGCACAGTCTGCCCACTTTACCAGGACCAGAAAAAGAGCCTACTGCCAAATGGAGAAGGCTTCAGCTCCCCTTCAATGGGTGGATTTGGCTCTGGTCTGGGTCTAGAGTGATAGGGATTCTCAGGCATAGGACGGTCTGTCTTCACTTTCGTAACCTAGTAAGTAAAAAGAAGAAATTATGTGACTTCTTGCAGCGTTTAACAAAAAAAGCTAGATTGAGTCAGAACTTAAAGGAAGAACTACAAAGATTATGTGACTTCTTGCAGCATTTAACAAAAAAAGCTAGATCGAGTCAGAACTTAAAGGAAGAACTACAAAGAAGTACCAAACGACGCTAAAGACACATTGTTCATCTGGTAAGAGCTCCTATCTCCAGGGTACTTCTAAAAAGAGGGAGGGGAAGGGCATATCACTCATAACTACAGAGCAGTTCTACATGTGTGTGAGCTGCACTCCTAAAGGTCTCTGTGCTAAGAAAAGCAAAAAAGTAAGAGTAAGTGGCATTGCCTAAGAAAAGTGCAAGTCTTTTGGAAAAGCAACCCTGGAGAACACTGACAGACTCCTGACTTCTATTAAAGTCCACAAGCTTCCCGTGTTGAGTTCATGAACCACCTTCTGGCCAGGAGAAGAGTTTGAGACCTGGTCTGGAAAAAACATCCACAAGAAGGGAGAGAAGAATCTGGCTGTCTGAGCAAAAAGGTATGAAGTTACCTTAGAGAGTTGTCCCAGATCAGGTCTCACCCATCCCAACTTCTCCAGCACGCAGTTATCAAACACTGCCTGCTGCTTTCGGCATCGACGGAGCTCCTGCAAGTTGGTATAGTCAATGCAGGTCCAGTACTCAGTAAATGGCTCCGCACAGTGCGTCTTAATCTTCCTGAAAGAGAAGGCAGAAAGAAAATGGTTAGGAAGTGTTGTAGCTTTAATGTTCTTCTCTCTTACTCATTCAAACTTCAACTTGTGATACAGTGGTTTTGTAGTTGTAAGTTTTCAGGAACACTTAAAAGTCTTTAGAGAAGTCAGTGTCTGAAGTATCATTAAACAAAACTTGATACCAATACCAGTAAAATTTGTATCACTGTAGCTGCAAGTAGCAATAGCAAAAACATAACCAATAAGTGGAAGGTGTTCTTGATAGGTAGGTGTACACATCTCCCCCATACGGGATCCCTGTTTTGCTAAGTAACATTGTGTATGTCAAACAATGCTCTCAGACTTCCAAATTCATTTGGTGTCTCAAGCTCAAGAAGACACACTTAGGACAAAGGTGTCTGATTACTAACTGCTATACTGGAAGAGGGCATGCTCTGAGCTAATTAAGCTAGGCCTTTTACTAGTAACTTAAAAACATGATACTGGCACACGCCTTGATCTACATTTTTGGTCCCAAGAGGCAAATGGGCCTTTACTCCTGTAAAACAGACCAGGCAGTGCAAAGCTCAGGTTGGTTTCCTGGATTTCATACTACAGCTGCAAGGTGCAGAAGCAGCAAGCTTTCCAGCACCCCCCAGCTCTCCTGGGGCAACCCAACAAAAACCTCAGCCACTTACTCTGGAGCAGAGCCCATGGAGCTCCATATGAAAGGACAAACTGAAGTACAAATAAACAAAACAAAACCAGCACAGCCTCTAAGAGTTCAAATTTAAAGAAACCAAAATAAAGCCGTGATAGTGCCGGCATTTCCAATGAAACTGAGTGACTGCCACAAACCCCGCCAAGGCCGCGCTACACCGACAGACCCCCCGAAACTCCCCTGCCCCAGCAGCGGGTCCCTCCGCCCGGACACCCC